CAGTTGAGGTGGCTCGGATATCTGGTAAGGATGCCTCCTGGACGCCTCCCTGGTGAGGTGTTCTGGGCACGTCCCACCGGGAGGAGGCCCCGAGGAAGACCCAGGACACGCTGGAGGGACAATGTTTCTCAGCTGGCCTGGGAACGCCTTGGGATTCCCAAAGGAGCTGGCCCAAGTGGCTGAATAGAGAGATGGGCCTCTCTGTCCAGGCTGCTGCCCCCGCCAACTGACCCTGGAGAAGCTGAAGATAATGGATGGATGAATGTAAATGTACATCTTGTGAAAAATGTTAAAATCATAACTATAAAAAGATTTAAGAGTCTCACATTAATTAATAACCAAACTGTGGTATTTTTGAATTTTTTATATCCTTTTATTTCTTAACCTCATGAGTTTTAGTTTCCCTCCAAAAACTCCTGTTCCTGTTRTAAAACGTCTCCTCTGCCACTTATACGACCCGCTCAGCAGCTGCCTCTCTTCGTGCCCAGCCTTCTTCCATCAATCTGTGTGGATGTTTTGGAAAGTGGGGGAGTTTTCAGACAGTCAGCTGCTAACCCCCACAGGGTGTGAAGAATTCTTGTACCAACACTGCAAGTTTCTAAAATACACGGATGCAAAATGACTGATTGCAAAACACGTTCTTTATTTATGGACGAAGAGACCGTGACTACTTGCAAATAGAGATTTCCTCTAAAATAAAACGAAGAAAGATTGAGTTTATTTATTTGATTAATTGGATTTAAATGAGTCTGATGTGGTGAATACAGTAATTTAGATCTGTACACAATCTACAGATGGAAACAACGTAATTCTGTGTTCTTGGTGGTGATATTTTTCTTTCTGGTGTCTGATGTTAAAACACTAAGGATTACTATTAATCTATAGCCTCCTTGGTAAGGTCTAGGGTGCTCAGAGCTGTCAAGTAATGAAATACAAATACTTTGTAACTTAAGTACAWATTTTGATTACATATACACTGAAGTTGGGATTATTGTGAAACATAGATAAAAACATTATGATGATTTGCAAATCCTCAATCTATATTCAATTAAATACACCACAATGACAAGATATTTAATGTTTCAAACAGATAAACTGTAATGATTTTTTCGCAAAACTTTTCTCATTTTGACTTTGATGTCTGCAACATGTTCTAAAACAGCTGGGACAGGGGAACGTTTCTATTGTGTTACATCACCTTTCCTTTGAACAACACTCGATAAACGTGTCAGTACTGAGGACATTAATTGTTGAAGTTCTGTAGGTGGAATTCTTTCCCATTCTTGCTTGATGAACAACTTCACTTGCTCAACAGTTGTATTTTACTCTTAATGTAATGCTCCACACATTTTCAATGGAAGACAGTTCTGGACTACATGAAGCCATGCTGATGTAACTTGTGCTGAATGTGACTTGGTATTGTCTTGCTGAAATAAGCAGGATGTCCCTGAAAAAGACATGGCTTGGGTAGCAGCACATGTTGCTCCAAAACCTGAATGTACCTTTCATTGTTAATGGTGCCTTCACAGCTGCGACAGTTATTCATGCAATGGGCACTAATGCACCCCCCATACCATCAGAGAGGCTGCCTTTTGAACTCTGTCCTCCTTTTCCTTTTTGTCCAGGAGGACAAACCATCCATGATTTCCAAAAACAGTTTGAAACTCGTCAGACCACAGGACACTTTTCCACTTTGTGTCAGTCCATCTCAGATGAGCTCGGGTCCAGAGAAGCTGGCGTTGTTTCTGGGTGTTGTTGATCTATAGCTTTGGCGTTGTATGGTAGAGTTTTGTCTTGCCCTGGTAGATGAAGAGACAAACTGTGTTCACTGACAATGRTTTTCAGAAGTGTTCCTGAGCCCATATATCATTACAGAATGATGTTGGTTTTTAATGYAGTGCCTCCTGATGGATCAAAGGTCAYGGGCATTCAATGCTGACTTTTGGTCTTGCAGCTTACTTTCAGAAATTTGTCCAGATTCTCTGAATATTTTTGATATTATGGACCGTAGATGAGGAAATCCCTAAATTCCTTGCAACTTTACATTGAAAAATGTTGTTCTTAAAGTTGTTCACAAATATGTGAACCTTGCCCCATCCTTGGTTGCAAATGACTGAGCCTTTCGGGGATGCTCCCTAAATACCTAATCATGACACTCACCTGTTTCCAATTAACTTGTTTACCTGTGGACTGCTCCAAACAGGTGTCCTTTGAACAGTCCTCAACTTTCCCAGTCATTTGTTGCCCCTGTTTCAGCTTTTTTGGAAAATGTTGCAGGCATCAAATTAATCAAATTTGAGCTAAGTGAATATTTACAAACAACAACAACAACAAAGAAGAAGAAGAAGAA